TAAATCACTTATCAAATCAAGCTAACTCTTTTTTTAAATCTCAAGTACAAAGTTTTAAAAGTGAAAGTATCTGTAACAATACTGCATTATATAGGAAATGTTTCTATTGTCGCAAAATTAATGCATTAATTATTTATATCATTCATAATTGTATAATAAGTATGTCAGCACCGTAAATATTTAGTAAAAATATTAAACAAAAAGTATTGTTTCATAATTATTTAATATTGCAGACTTTAATGCTTGATTAAATCAGTTCATATTAATGAATTGATAGGTGTAATCAGTCTCAATTGAAAAGAACGAAAATTTAAAGGAAAGATATAATCAACTTTACATAGTGCGATAACAAGTGCCTTTACGATACAATAAATTGACAGCAAACGACACATCAGATCAATATTATGCACTTTGATATCGATAATGATTCAAAACGGTACATTAATTGGCATTTTATAACATTTGATCGAGTAAAGGCCATTTGCCTCTATCTCTGGCGAGCACTCTCAGATCCAACCGTATATTTTTCCTTCAATTACAACGTGGAGAGATGATATAAAAAACGCGCGCGTCGCCGCTTAATTTGCAAATGTTTTCTGCCGAAAAATCTTATCGCTTCGTACGAAAATGATTCCTCGACGAATCGCTGTCCGCCTTCTTTTTTTGCTGCGACAGTCGTCTCTCTCGTTCTCTTTCACCGATTCGTTCAAAAGACGGAGAAAGTGAGAAGAGCGAGGCAAGAGGGGGGAAAAAAAAGGAGAACGCAGGCAGATAATTACGCAAGACCAGTATATCGGTAGCGACGGAATTCCGAGAAGCTGAGAAAACCGTAAAGATTTCAATGACCTCCTCCACCTACCGGTGTAGTCGATGTCCTGCGTCCTTCAAGGTGTGCTTCTGCCACTCCTCGGTGAAGGGAGAGGAGGAAAGATACGCGAGGGGGAGGAAGGACGCGAGGAGGATGTCGGAAGATCATCCTCGAGAAGAGCAAAAACGAAGAATCACAGCGGCAAGAGGCAGCGGTAATATCGTTCCGGAATGAAACCGACGACGGGAGATTGAGAGAGGAAGGGGAGGACTCCGATCTGGACGCGATCGTCGCGAGGAAGCGGCCCCGGTGGCCCGCGTCCGGTGAAAAGCACCGTCGCGGCGCAGCGGCTTAAAGCCCGTGGAATTATCCTCCTGTAAACACCTACCTAATTAAGATTGGAACATTTTAACGTCCTGCTCGGGGACCCCAATAAACCGCCTAACGTACGGCCAGTTTGTTAAGCGCTTATAGGATCGTTTAATTAATATTGGCGTCGGAGCAGCGCGCCCGGCTCGAAACGGCCGACGACCACCTCCGGCGCCTCGGTGTCTTGCCGCTCGGTACACTTGCAGCTCCGCGAAACTTGCACGTGTAATCCCGTTGTGTGCGCGAACGATGTGTGTGTGTATGTGTGTGATATGTGTGTGAGTTCGCGACGGGCGCCCGGGCTCCACGGTCAGGGTATATTAGTCCTGGGGCTGATGATCATTTGCTGTGCCGCGACGATACACGCTCGACGGTATCCTTATCGAATACTCGTCTCTTCTCCCCTTTTCCGTCCCCCGAGCGCGTCCTCTGTTTGCCGCGAGCATGTCACCTAATCGATCGCGGAAATGTCCGCACGCAAATGTACACGTTTTTTCAGTTTAAATTGAGTCGTAAATTCTTTCAAAGAAATGTCTTTTAGTCTTTGTAGGATCTTTATTCTAGAAGACAGAACTGATTATATTAAAATTCCAAAAGTATAAAAATATATATATATATATATCTGTAACTGTATTCTTTAATATGTTGAAAGACTAAAAGCTTCTTTAAAATGCTAATAACATTCCTCTTCTTTAGTATTAATTTATATTATCGTTATAAATATTCATAGAGAGTAAATTTATAATATATATATAATGCGACGTTTAAACACTTATATAATGTAAACAACGGTAGTCTACATTTATAATATGAATCTTATTATATAACAAAATTATTGCTGAAATTAATTAACGATAAAAACAAGCTATTATTCATATGTTTGTTTACTGATTTCAAGGTATCATCAGTATAGTTCTACGTATTTTTTGGTTTATACCAAGACTGAAATTTAAAATGGGCATCTTTAGACGAATGTAACAAACGTCTTACGAACCGCATAATTATGCAAATTTCGTCGCAAATCTTTACATGGCTTCCACATTATGTGCAATATACAAGCCGCATTCGCGAAAAATGCAACAAAGATCGTACCTTCGCCGAGACGCGCGAGGAATGTAGAAACCGGGCACTCGTTGTCGCAGAAATTTATCATCGACTTCCACGAGACGTGGAGCGAGCGAGTGCTCGCGCATTAAGCGCGCGCTCGCGGGAGGGTTGCGCGAGCCAGACATGAGGCCTCGGGAGAGGAGAAAATAGAGTCACGGCGCGTTCCCGTGGTGCGACGTGTTCTTGCGCGGCCGGAGAGAGGGCGGCCAAGGCCGATTAATCACGGTCGCATTTTGCGGTTTTGTCGCGCGTCACGACCCACGTGCGTTCCGCGGGCCCCATTGTTCCGCGCCTAATCGTTCCGGGAACAGTGTCGGACAGTCGTACGCCGTGGGAGAGTTTCTGTCGTACGTAAAGCCCGCGCTCTCGGATCCTCGCATACGCGAGGGCCCATCCTCCGGCTGACGCGCGGTCTCACGGCCAACTGCTCGCTCAAGAGACAACTTTGTCTCATAATACATTCGCCTTCTCTGTTCGGGGCAATAATGCATGACGGGATAACAATTAAATTAAATTTACCCAAACCAGACTGTTGATGCAATCGAGTCGAGTATAAAGCCCACAATTCCATTCTTTTATCTAGAAGCGATAAGTAGTTAATGCAATTTTAAAAGATAGATTTATATGTGAAAAATGATTTTTACTCTCCTTTACATAATTATTCGCTAAATTCCCGATATATATTTTGACAACTAACGTGCAAATAAATAAACAATAAAATTGTATCACTTCATTGTGCGCGAGATGATGGTCGACGGTAAAACCAAGATTGAAACCGCATTCTCACACCGTTCCCGATGGTCCAATGTTTTCATCAGCGCGTAATAACCGGTGTGTACCGCGTTTTTTTCCTCCAAAATTGAATTACGGAGAAGCCCTCGCTTCTCCACTCGGGCGAGATCTTTGTCAGAGGCACGTCTCGGCTCCCGGCCTCGGGGAGACGAAGATCGGGAACGCGGGGCGGCGTGGAGAGGAGGGGGAGGGGAAGGGACGAGGGGCGAGGTGTGGATTCTAAAAATGGCGTCGCGGACCCACGGCGCGCGGTAACTCCGGGGCCAATTTCGAGGGGCCATTTTTCCCCCGAAGGGGAACGTCGACGGCAGCCGAAAATTACCCCGCTCGGACCACCCAGTCGTGCCGCGGCAGACCAATCTCCTGGCCATGGGCTAATCGAGTCCAGACAGTCCCCCTTGGTGGGGCTAATTGCGCCTCACCACTTTCGTACCTCCGAGAGGTCGACCTCTCTATTAAGAGACTTTTACCCGGACGCGCTCGCACGGCCGCGCCGTGCCGCGTCACGTATTAAATTGGAGGGTGTAAGCTCGCCTCACTAAGAGTCTTTTCTTTAAAGAGGGCTTTTTTTTGGGGTGGCTTGTGTGGGAATGCGCGGAACCGTTGGTGGTAGACCGGTGTTGATCAAGTAATCTTGGACGTTCGTGATGTTATGTAGGAAACTTCCTGTGAATATCATTACTTAGACTATGATTTGACGGACGCTGAGAAGTTCCACTTAATGTTTGTGATTACATGCTGTTCCCTCTTTTATTATCTCATATTCATACTGTATGTTTATTTCGCGCGCGATACACAAATATAATGTATGAAATTTCTAATTCAATAATAATATATGAATGTGTGTAAACCTTCTCGTTTTATAATTGAAGCAAGGAAAGATGAACAATCGAATAAAGCGAACCTATAGATATTAAAAGTTCTGTGCATGTTTCCGATAGAACACTTAATCTTCCAGAACTAATATTAACAATCGTTAATATTTGTTCAGTATTCTTGATATTAAATCCAAAAAGCTAAACTTTTTTCAATGTCTGTAAATTTGTCAGAAGATATTTATCAATTATCAAGAATGAAAAATTGAAAAAGGTTATCAAATAGCTAAGTTGGAAAACGATAAAGCAAGATAAAAAATTTCTCTTTTCATTTTACGACTTCCGCTATCGCCAAAACGTGGTAAATGTGATATGGCTGCGGGTTTTCGATGGCCAGCTTTATGGTTATGCGAAATTCTTCTTAAAAGTAACCGTAAAACTATTCTATAAGAAATGGCAGTAGACTTTTATTGCCCATGCGACTGTCGTATAAACCTTAAATTACAGATAAAAACTCATGTTTTACACAGCACTTTGATATACGAGGCCTACCAATTCTCTATGTTTCCTTAATTTATCCTTATTATCACGTTCCCATGTGAGAACGAAGGGACAAAAAAAACTTCTCGTCAAGAATGTGTTGAGGTATCTTTCGAGATTAATTTTTTAGCACTTTTTTTATTAAAAGTTTGACGAAAGGTTTTGTGTGTAAAGTGTATCCTATCAAAACAATAATCATCAAAATAAGAGAGAAAAGCAAACCAAGAATATCTAACGTCAACAACAGGCTGAAAAAATTGTTGATCCATTCAGTCCAAAATTTGAAACAGAAAATAAAAAGTGCAAACAGAATAAATTTGATAATATAGATCTATATTAACTGTTTAGAATTCATTTCCGGTGTTTTTAAATTTAATATTCAGCAAACAAATAATTTGGAATGTACAATATACACTATTTGTGTTAGATATTGCTGTATTCACGCATTATATGAGACATCGTTATAAATAAAAGTATGTAGAATATATTTTCACTTACCTGTAATCTCAATGACACAAAAGATAACTCATTTGAAGTAAAGCTAAATTGAATAAACGCTGTAATTTGGAATACAATTGTTCATATATTTTTTCCTCTTATATATTTAGGCTAAAAGATAGATTGTCGCTGCTATTAAATCAGTAAATCTTAACAGTAGCAAACGAGATTCGCCTCTAAATATAATTTTATCGACACCTAACTCTCACATATTGCGCAAAAGTATAAACTTTAATAGCTCAGTCTTATATACACAGAAGAGAAAGCCCTGTAATGCGGTAAAATTCGAAAACTAATAAGGAGCAATCGAGGAATAAAGAAACCCTTGCGTACTCGTTGATTGATATGGCAAGTGTTGATCGATCGAACTGCAACTTATGGCACAAAGCTTATGTCACGCGAGGAAAAAGCAGCAGAATTTGATAATACACGATGTATGTAAAACGAAAGCGAATTCCCAAGTTTTCTCCGAACGAAAGAATTTACACGAAAATCCGATTCGCCATTGATATATTTCTAACGCGCTATTAATTCGAATTCGTCACTTGGGAGTTCGCTCGGAGTTCGACCTCGCAGCGATTCAAGCGGAAAAGCGATTCACCGGATATTACTATGCAAACGCCGGCGCGTTATGATGCGAACGTTATTCGACGAACATACTTTACATAAATTCATTATATACTATTTACGTATATCTTAATATGTGTTACGAGCACTGGAGATACGTGGAAAGCCCGAGTAGAAAATAATCGCCTCGCGCGGCGTAGGCGATGCTGATAACAACTATTATATGTAGGATCTATTCTACATAACAGGAAATTCACTAGACCCCGTTAGAATAGTTCATTTTCGTTAAAAAAATTTAAAATTTTATGGTTTCATAGAATTCCAAAGTATTTTTTTTATTAGCAAGATTTATCGTTAAAACTTGAAAATATTTTTTATCGCTAAGATTTGAAAAATTGTTTGTGGACAACATTGCCAGAAACTACTATTTTTATCTTGTTTGAAGAAGGTGGCAGTCTAACAAAGGCCTAGAGAGCGACGAAAACTTAGAACCTGCCTCAGCACTTAACGATAAAAATCTTTGACCACAATCTATATAGCCAGTGATATTTTATCTATGAAATTCATATGAAATTCTACATTCAATAAATCTTTTTCGCGAGATTTAAGCATATGTTCCAATGAAATTGCTTTAAAGCGGCATAACATGCATATATGTTATATTTTTTATCGCCAAAACATTGAGTTTAGATATAAATCTGCACTATTAACCATCAGCAATTCATAGATATATAGTCAAAGATACGAACTGTCTCGCAAACGCGAGGAATCTCGTTGCGGCTCGCGTCTGACTCGGCTCGCGCATGCACTACTGACGTCCTCGATCCCGCTCCTCGCGTTTGCGCGTCGATAAATCTCTCGAGAAAATCTACCGCACGTCTCTAAGTAAGCGAGATTCAACCCAGATCTGTGCGATCGCGATAAATCGTAAATCACATATCATCCGAACGTTCATCGTTGAACGTTCACGATCAAGCCGTATCCTAGAAATCGATATATTACAAACGCGATTATATAGCACATTATGTATCACGCTCGCAACCGAACAGTTGGATCAACAGTTGGATGACGACGACAGAAGTCGAAAAGTTTTTATCACGTCAAGTATCAATATTAAACTATCTCCGAACTCGATTGCTGAATATCTCTTTTCGTTGTTAAACACAGAGAGAGAGAGAGATGCATTTTTTTTCTACAACTAATACTGCGATTCTCTGCCGAACTTTGCGACTTCGATTATTATCTTTTGATCTATCGTTATGGCACCTATCCACAATGAGACTTACGAAAAGAAAATAAATCCTCGGCATTATCTCCTCCGTCTCTTCTAACCATCTAACACAGGCAGAAGCAGCTATCACATCAACCAGATCCTCGACGCTGTCATATATACGAAAAGTTCTCGACTTACATCGACACTAACGGCAAGTGTTGACGGTCTTCTTCACGAGGCATGTGTTGCACGTGACCTCGCAGCACCACCGAAACCTGCACTGGCAATTAACTTTCTCCTTTACGATCCTGGTGTCGTAACCCCTGCCGCAGCAGAGGAGCTCACAGCCCTCGACCCCGGGACTAGTCGCGTTGCATAGACGACCCGTCGTACCTAGCGAGCCGGTCTTCCGGTTCAGCTTGCAAAAGTCCGGCGAGTCCTCGCTGTAGATCAAGTCGAATCTACCGGGCGGCTTGATAGTCGGGCCCTCGGTGATGAAGCTGTGACCGTCATTGCTGGGAATAACTTTGGCCGCGCCATCGAAAGACTCTTTCAGACGGTTGCCGACTTCCCGAAACGGCGGCATCTTGCGCCAACAAGTGCGCACCGTGCAAGATCCGGAAAGTCCGTGGCACTTGCACTCGGTTCTCATAAAGTTGCGTACGGCCTGAGGAACGAATGTAAGTGTCGGATGGCAATGTATGTGTGTTCAATTGCACACCTTTGATAAAAAAAAGCCCGGCAGCTCTAAAATTCTAGTAACGACAAAGCGAAATCCAGCTCTAATTCGTCGAAGAATAAGAAATCGACAGAATGCCAATTAAACGCTATCTGTTATCGATACAAATCCTATCACCTATTAGTCATAATAGCCATAATAGCGCCTAATTGAGTTTGTTAGAATCTTGAAGATATATCAGCATTAGTAAGAAAAGCAAAGTTAAAACGTGCGATATTTTATGCCATTATTAAACTCTTTGTAAATTTTTTCGAATAAATATACCCTTGATATAATAAAGTATAATTCTTCCGTTGTACTTCATAATTTTTGGCGATTATAAGAATATTTTCCAAAAGTTGAATAATTATAAATTATATAAATACTGGTATAAGAATTCGAATTGTAAAAAAAAATTAGTGCTGTGCCGATGCTTATTAGTTTACGACAAAATAAAAAGCAAGCAATTAAATAGAAACACGTGCATCAACAAGAAACGCGCGTGAAGAATAAATATATAAAAATGACTCACCAGACGACCAGCGTCGTTGTTGTGAAGCTTCACCAACGTCTTAATGTCGCTCCGTTTACGATATGGGGCATCCATAAATTCTCGAGATTTTTTGAAGCCGAAGTTTACGTTATCGCCGCATCCTCCCCATTCCCAGTCTCCTTCTGTTGGCAAACTTTTCTTAGCTTCGGCTGTACGCGCAAATTTAGCCAAACGGTTACCTGCGAAAGAACTGCCATTTTCTCTCATATCCAAAAAATAATCGCGATGACGATATCGTATGCACAATCCGCAATTTTTCGCACTCATTAATCCAAATAACCAAATATTTTTCTGACTGATTTTCTTTATGGCAGAGAAATATAATAAAAATTATTCCCTTTACTTATTCTAACGAATAATAATCATTTGAACAATTTGGAAAAAGTTTTTAAAAGCCTATAAATTACAACGCGTTCCAATAAGAAAATGATAAGAAATTGATGCGTGAATTGAATCACAAGAAAAACTAAAGGAGCAAGCTTTTACCCTTCGTCATCTTATCGCAGGAGCATTCCACGAGGTCACCCATAGTGCAGGCTCTGGTAACCGCATAAGTAACTCCGGCGGCGGTGATGGCGTTCACGAAACCCGTCTCCCGCGTATCTGGAAGCATACGGAGGGGAATCCGGGATCAATTAACGGACTATTACCGTGGCAGCGTGGTCCGCGACGTAAATCACCGATCGCGAAACAAGAAGAGGCGCGCTCGGCGCGTATATATGCGCGGTAAGTGAGCGGGAATAAAAAAATCAACAAAAATCTTTCCAGTCGCATGGGGTCTTAAACGGAATCGAGGGGAATGCCGGGAGATAAGAAGCAATGTCGGCAAGAGTTAGGGCGAGAAAGTTGAAGAAGGTCGCGCAATCAGATCGTTCGCGAAACAAATCGGATTACGCGTCGGCCGACGAATAAGACAATTTAAGGCCTTTCTATGTGTGTATACGCGCTTCAGACCCTTGAGATACATTAATTAATGATGCCAATTCCAGATGCGAAGGATCCATCTAAGAATATTTGAATTGATAAAAAAGTTCTCTGAGAATTATTCTGATAAAACTAATCTCTCAATATATTCTCATATGTTTTTGTATTACGCATTGCGCATATTATTATAATATGGAAGATGCATAATTGATAAAGATATAATTTATAATAATAACTTTTTGAAATTGTTGCTTCTAATGAACGGCATTGAAGTATCGATTATTACTTTATTTTTTTTTTACCAACCTTGTAATTTCAGAAACATTTAATTCGAGCACAGAAATATTTTAGAGAGATCGTTACTTGATTGAATAATCTAGATCAAGTCAACATACCGAAGCAGATCTGATTACAACGGTATTCAACCATAGATGACCTACATAGATCAAAACATCTATGCCTACGGTATTGCAATGTATCTGCCGTGCATCGTTATCCAAGTGTCAAGTATAAAATAGACGCGCGATGGAAGGTGCAATTTGATATTAGACACGGTGCGCATGCAGTACTTGCTTATATGGCGAAATAGAGGCCGGTGCGTGTCAATTAGTCGCCGTAATGGTATGCGATTAACGCTTCTTCAGGTTTTCTTATAGACATGAGAAATCGCCGTGCGCAATTACAACCATCCACACAATATTTCAATAGCGTCATAATTTCATTATGTCAATAAATACGAAAAATCATAAATAAATCTAACCAATTGATTGTGTCTAATTATATTAAATGTTTAATGAGAACATAGCACTTTATACAGTAATCAGAAATATTCCTCGCAAACCAAACTTCGGAATGCAACTGAATCAGTATAAAGAACATCACTACTTTATGTCAAATTTAAATAAACTATTTGCTTTCCATTCGTAATTAAATTAATTATATAATATTGAATGATAAAAAATATTGCAAACAATCTCATGCAAATCTTGTCTAGAGAAAACACTTGTTTTATATTAAAATTAAAACTGGTTTTTCTCTCGCCGTAAAACATATCGTAATGTTGTGTACAATAAGCATTCTACGCAGCTTCATTCAATTATTTGACCTTGGTTTCTAAATACATCCCTCGTCTAAGATATCGAATTGCAAATTCCATCCGGTAGTTCCGTGAGATGTGGGTGGCGCCGATCGCGAATGGCCCGCACGAAAAGATCGGCTCACTAGCATGAAAGGGGTACCGTCGAAGGTTTTTGGGAGCAGACGCCCATCGGTGGTCCCACAATTCGGGCTCACGGTTGTCTGGTCGCGATAGCCGTACCGACGGGGACCTACAGAAACTCGCGCCCGATGCAGCTCCTCATGGCGTATGTGTATTCGGTTTCACCTGTCACGACTCCACTCAATCATTAAGCGGACAATGCACACGACGCGGAATTTCACCCCTTTTCAAAACGGGAGATCGCCCCGACCGACCATTGTCTCCATCAGCATCCGGTTTTTGCAAAACGAGGCTGCACGCAAGACCTTTTTATTTCCGCATTCTATATGTGCATTTCACTCTTTTTTTCTCATCTCAAAACTTATTCTAAATGTTAATACTTTTTGGTCATGATAATTTATTTAAGAAACGTAAATGTATATAAACATGATTGTTAATTCTATGCAATTTAAACGTGTAAGATGTAGTTTATTTTATTTCGTAAGCAGATAATTAAATTGCACTAATCTTTATGCGCATTATGCTTCCAAGCGTGACAGCGTGTCTAAATTCTGTTATATCATCCGAAATTTCGCGTTCTTATGCAACTGACGATTGCAATAATAAATTTATATAACTAAGAATCATCGTGACTGTGAGAAGCTATTTTTGAATCGCAAATATTATACTGCCGTGCAGTATATAAAATTTAAATGCGAAAGGAACGTGTTTTCTCGTTAGACCGACGACACCGCTATTCCATTTTATTGCGAAACACCGTTGAAAACCGAAGTCATTTCACGAATCTTGAACTGCATCGATATGATCTCCGTCGACGCCGACATGCCGGAATTAACTCATAACGTGGAATGCACGCCCAATTACGGATTCCAGCGAAAAGCGGTAACCATCGTGAATATCGAGCCAATCCCGACGTATTGGCGATGCAGAATCGCGCCGCGATCGCATCTCATCCTTTTCAGAAACTTGATGCGCGCGATCTTCTGTCAATTATCTGGATATAGACGGTGACGTTGATAACATCGATCGTTGTAACGAGAAGAGCGTACATTGTCCTCATTGCTCTCTTTGTGTTTCTTTTATTAGCTTACGCGCTATTCTCATATCTCATAAATCAATTATTATACATTGTCAATCTAATAAGACTTCCTGGTACAGTCTGTTAGAACTTCAAGATTTCTCAGCTCAACGATACATTATTGTCAATCTAATACCGTCGATCTAAATATAGAAGAAAAAAAAAAAACGAGGAAAAGAGAAAGTAAAAAAAGAAAAAGAGAGTGGATATGTGTATCGAGAATAGCAAAGGCCGAGCGGGGGGGGGGGGAGGGTGCGGAGGGTACGAAGGAGGCTCGGGTGGGAGAACTCCACTATGACGCCAGGGAGGAGTTATACGCGTTAAGTCTGGTTCTCCGTGGTTCCCATGGATTCCAGGCGGGTATCTTCAGCGCGGATCGACAGCGCGGACGGAACGGGCGAACGCGGGCCAGGGGAAAGAGGGGAGGCCTGGCCTGCCACCGCCCGCGTATCTTCTGATGCATCGCCTCACCTTTCAGTGCGTATTTAAACGATACGATAGTTTTATACGAGCGATCTGATATCGGGAGCTCGGAGAGCGAGAGAGAGAGAGAGAAAGAGAGACCCCGGCCTGGCTCACTCTCTCGGCTCCCGGCCCCGGCCATCGCTTCTTCTCTTCTTCCCCGGCCGATCGATCGCCTCGCTCTATCTCCGTTCCGGCTCCAACCTTCGTTCGAACCGATGCACCGGCCCTTTAACATGACGGAAGCATCGAGCCCCCTTCGAGCTCACGCGGCCGGATCGTTTACGAGAGCTCCGTTCTCGCTGCTCTTTTTTTCGTAGCTTCCTCCACTCGGAGGAATTTCCTGATGTCGCCCGTCGGCCCTAAATCTGAACGATCCTCGGGAGAAAAGTCGAAGGAAAACTGCAGGGAAAGTTTTCAAAATTGCAACTGACTGTTTTCCTCGTCAATATCGAAGATCCTTTCAAACTGTTACATTAGTATCTCAGATCCAATTCATATTTAAGCAAAAATCGTGTCTACGTTATAAACTCATAAACACTGTCTTATAATAATCCAATTTGAATTGAAATAAATCTTGCATTAATCAAGTTTCTGTTGAACGACCAATTGTTAACAAAAACTGATCGCGCAATGAGAGCTGTTCAATTTCGCGTCCTGAAATGTTTCCCGTTGCCGTACGACGATGCATTTGAGCATTTTGATGGTCGCCCCGGGAATGCCGGAGAGAGAGAGAGAGAGAGAGAG